CACACACACACACACACACACACACACACACACACACACACACACACAGTTGCAGTTTTTGCTTCAGTAAAGTCCTCACAGGGACAGGTATCTGACCATGTGTGTTGAACGTCTAGGACCCGGACCCTGGTTCTGGATCACCTGGAGCAGAGCTTCCAGGACCTCCTCAGCTCCGTGGTTACCATGGTAACAGACAGGAAGGAGGCGGTTCATTTGGAGCAGGACCTCCAGCTTCAGCACCTGAAACCCGAATACATTCGGACCCACAAATACGAGCCCCGCCTGGGTAACACACACACATACACCAGTTTGTGTTTCTATACTGCATAAACCGAGGTCTTGCTCCTGATAGCTTTTCTCTTCAGCTACAAGAGACGGTGAGGCCCTGAGCTCAGAGGGCGGAGCTTACACTCATAGAATCTGGGGTTACAACATGTTACCAACTTTCTATTTCATGTCAGCTCCACCCTCTAAGGCTGTTGCTGATGGGTATAGAGGCGGAGCCCGATGTAGTCTGCACCTCACCAGCTCTAACAGACTTGTGATCATCCACCCCGAACACCATCACCCCTGTGACACATCTGTGTGAGTTAAACTCAGGAGAGAATTCTGGTAACAGCTGGTTCATGTGGATGGTTAGGCTTTCAAGAACCGTTTCACCAGCGGGTGATTAAACACTGTCCTGTCACCGAAACCCTTGTGACGGGAGGAAATTGCCGCAGCATACGTTTTAACGGTGCTGAAGGCTAAACCCCTGTCCCTCAACATCTGTAGAAATGACAGAAGGACAAGGAACACGAAACTGGATCTGCATTTTTCTCTACACACCAGCACTGAAAAGATGACCACTCTGCTGTGTAGGATGACATCGGGAGGATCGTCCCGTGAACTCAGGGAGAACCAGAGGTCTCACTGCATGTTCTAGCGCAGGGTACCCATCAGCGGTAGCCTTAGAGGGCGGAGCTTACACAAAATAGAACAGTCCTTGGTCCCCATTAGGACTCCTGGTCTTGACAAGGTAGACCTGTATACCAGAAACAGTCCAAAAAAGATATCAAAAACAAAAACACAAACATACACCTGCAGGTCTGTTATAAGAACATTCTGAACCGTCATCATTGGGTCATACTGAGTGTGTGTGTGTGTGTGTGTGTGTGTGTGTGTGTGTGTGTGTGTGTGTGTGTGTGTGTGTGCAGCCGAGTTGCAGCTCCACCAGCAGCGTGTGGACGTCCACTGTCAGGATATGTTGGACGTTCTGTCCTTCTGCAGGACGGAACTGCAGCAGCTGAAGACGTCCATCAGGGATAAGAACCAGAACCTGTTCTTGACCCTGTCCAACATGGAGGACGAAGTCCAGAAGACGAGCAGCACTGGACGAACGAGCAGCGTTGAACGGTAAGAACTGACCTGTGATCAGTTGACTGCAGGTCAGATGGTCTGACCTTTGACCTCTGGTGGTCTGTCTTCAGTCTGGAGGCTGTTGGCTCTGCCCTGCAGGACTGTCTGGACCAGCACCTTAAAGACATTCAGAGCTATCGGACCAGTTTCAGGCAGATGGTCCAGTCCAGGCTGGAGGAGACCAAAAGAAGAACAGCAGAGCTCCAGAGCTCCTTCAGGTGAGTTCACCTGCAGCTCAGACACCTGCAGGTCAAATAAACCTGTCCTGAGCCGAGCCTGTCCTCCTATAGGACGTTCAAAGAAGGAGGAGACTTTTCTCCTCGTGAGCTCAAGATGTTCCAGAGGAGACTGAAGAAGGAGACCAAACGGACCAGTGAGACTGAGGAGTCCCTCTACTCTGAGCTGGAGGACTTTGAGTCCATGACTCTGCAGCAGGTGTGTCTCCAAGACCACAAGACCACCAGATGTCTTCAGCAACATCACCACCAACAACAACAAACACATCCATCCATCCATCCATCCATCCATCCATCCATCCATCCATCCATCCATCCATCCATCCATCCATCCATCCATCCATCCATCCATTTATCCGTCCATCCATCTGTAAGAAATACGTGTTGAATATCGGCTGAAGTCAGTTAAAACACCTGTGTGAAATAACGCCATACAAAGCAGAATTCTGGAGTGGGGTTTAATGCCATTCATGATGACGACGAAACCACACACTGGGAGTCAAAACAGGAAGT